AGGTAACTACTTGTTCCCTTTTGTTCATACTATTTTGATGGTAAAGTTTGTGTTTTTTTGTACTTGGTTGTATTATTGTGTTTATGTATTTGGACTCTCTATTTTTGACCTGCTAGATATTGCTCGGTCTGAGAACCGAAGGAAGGTGAAGCCCTCTGAGGGGGTGAAACAACCTGAGCCCTCTCCCAGTGGCTCCTCATCCTCTTCCGAGGATGAAGATGAAGATGGCGATGTTGCAGAGCAGCCTGCCGTTGTGCCGGAGGGGGATAAGTCCCCAGGGAAGTCTCAGCTCCCACTATTGGTGGAATGGTGGGGCCATTGATGGCTCTGAATCCTCTGAAGTGGACATGGAGGATCAAGATGAAAATAGACAAGGAAGTCTGATAATCGTTGTTGAGATTTCATGATGCGACCTTTCACAATTTTATCCATTTCTTTTAGTTGGATGATCCAATCCCAGTTTTGTAAGTTGTGGTGGAAAGAGGTCTTCATTAGCTACAACTTTGTTAAAGAAATCATAGTCAAATTCGGACGGAGAAGCGCACGTCGTGCGCCGAAAGGACGCACGTTGTGTGACGAAGAAGAAATCACGGAAAGGCTACCGGAGCCCGTGCACGCGAGACACACGGTTTTTATGCTCAGGGTTCTCCGGCCGCATGAGAGATACGCACGCCGTGCTTGGGAACCATGTGTGCACTCTAAGGGCTCTTTTTCGACCAGAATTGCCCCGTTTTCTATTTACACATCATGTAAACCCTTGTTTTGGGAGGGAAAGCTTATGGAGAGTACCTAGGATAAAAGTTTGAGAGGTTTTCAACCTGGGATCCTTAATACACTAGGACTATTTTTAAGTTCTGTTTTTTGAATGAATGACAATTAATTCTTTTCTTCTCTATTTTGTTGATCTGTCAATCATGAATCGTGAGTAGATTTGATTAGGGATTTGGGATTGATGAAAGGTTTTTTAATCATGATCTAAAGTTAAATTATTGATGGTTTAATTGCATGATCTTTATTTAATTTTTGTTTAGATAATTTAATTGATATCTTTTGTAACCTAGAACTGCAGCTAGGATTATAATTGCACATAGAATAAATTAAGAGAGATCTAATTTATTCTAGGATACTTTCACACACACTTAATAATCCGCTAAGAGATTAGTAACGGTTAGGGGGCCGTATGCTCGCTCGTTTTGATAATAATTTAGAAACTTGTCGCATGAGAGATCATCCTGGTTCCTTAAATTATTGTACTCTACGCCACGACAGCGGTAAAAACTTAGTATTGATCAGCGTTGCTCAATTAAATATTTTTCATGTGATTAAGGTTGATCAACCCCAAAATCTTGTTACCCCGAACACAATCCATGTTCCCTTTCGTCATTAATTAGAAAGAACATTTAATTTAGCTTTATTTTCACGTTATTTTTCTCAAAAATCAAATCTTGCACATTCACTTTTTTTAGTTCTTTTAATCGCTGAATTTATTTAATATCTGATTCCCTTTTTCCATCCCTGTAGAGACAACACTCGTGTCTATACCCTATACTGCTCCACATATTTTAAGTGCGAGAAAACATACATCACCAGGTCTCTGGCTCAATCGATGGCAAAGCTGAGATGTTTTGCGAATCGCTACCAGATGACATACCCTCGTTCTTGCTGTCGAGAACGGGGGTTCTTGACTGAGGTGATGCTAAAAAGGGCTATCACTATATCTAAGGTCTACGAAACAAAGTGTCGGAAAACGATAAGAATAAAGGAAGAGCTGACATCGAAAACTTGTTTTGAATCGGCTAAATAATTCTATCTCTAAACTTGGGCAGAGCTTTGATTCACAAATCAAAATCACGCGAGAGAAATGAATCCGGATAAAGGGTATTTATAGCCAACCTAACCCTGGTTAGCCTTGAAAACAGGGCCTCCGGTAAGAAGCCCATCTTTATGAACCGCCACATCATCCCAATCAGGAGACACCACCCACAGCAGCCCTATCAACATCTAACTCATGGCACCCCTTCAACGGTAACTTATCAATGGTCAATTCACGATCTAAGGCGCCTCTACCCCAATCCGCCTCTGGGTCGCTCCAGAGATACTGCGCAAATGAACGAAGCCCTCGAGAAAAAATACCAAAACATACACCCCTTCAGCCCGAACTGCCTTCAGCCAAAAGGAGTAGGGAACTGAGGGACTACCCCTCGGTCTTTTTTGAAAAAACGTCAACAAATTCAGCACAATCAAAGGCACAATATAGTAGCCTTCAGATAAAGCAACAAAACTACTCCCATTTACCTTGAGAAGCTCCTGATGGGTATATGGCCCAGGACCCCCCGATCCACATACTCCCACTATCTCAAATGAGCCCAACCACCGTAGTGGCCCAAAAATAGCAGCCCAAATACGACGGCCTAAGTACAAACACCCCTCAGGCCCGAGCCTGAGGGCTACAAACTATAATAACCTGACACAATTCGCCTCAACAAAAGAACTGCGTAATTCACAACTCCATCATAGCCTTCGACAAACAGCCTTCGGCACTCAGGGCGAAGCCCTCAGCCGCGACACAAAAGAGACATCTCGTCTAACGTTTCTCAATGCTCAACTACCGCATTTAATGCTATGCCACATGCTCGTCTCCGCACTACAAGGGGGCTTTCTGTCATAGATTAGCTTACAAGTGTATGTGCATTTAATGCACCTAACATTTATGACTAGTATAAATAAGAGATCCTTGGACAATTGTGACTGACCATTGTTCATTTAATATGATTGCTCTCTCTCTCTCTCTCTCTCTCTCTCTCTCTCTCTCTCTCTCTCTCTCTCTCTCCTACTTAATAACTTTGCCTTCTCTCTAGATTGCACTAGTGGTATCCCGATATTTGCTATTTATCAATGTCAATATTATAATGTCATGTTTTTTGACAGGATTGTCAAATCTTGTCATTTTTAGCAATATTATTTTCAAAAATGCTACTTTTTATGAAAATGTCATGTTTTTATACGAAAAATGTCATTTCTTGTCATTATGCTTATCAAGATGGCATTCTCGGTGGAGATTAGCAAAAGACTATCTAGAGAGCGATGTCACGCCCCGGACCTACCAGACACGTCAACAACCCGCCGTATAGTACGAATAGTCAACCGCAGTCCAACTCATCCATACTATACTAGGCGTCTTGAATACCATTCACACATAGTACATCCATAAACAAGCATAATGTAAAATATCCATTTAAAGCAGCGGAAACATTAATACAAGTGTTCAAGCCACACTTGGCAAACTTGGGCATACAAGCCCCCAAATAATTATTCAGAAAATAATATCCATGAGCATTTAATGTAATTGTTTTTGAAACAGATACGGAGGAAGCACGAATCACGTCTTCTCTCCTTGAATCTTCCCGAAGCAACGAGCGATGGTAGCAACCTTCAAGTTCTACCTGAAACTGTGAGGTAGCCTCCCCCGTGAAGGGGAGGTCAGTACTTTGAAGCATTTGAAAAGTACAATGACAACTATACTAAGTATAATCAATGTTTCAATTCCTAAGACCCTCAAATAGGGTGTTATTATATTATAGGCCGTAACCCTTAGTTACCCTATTTAAAATATACTTACTTTATATATAAAGTCAAGTAGTCGGCCCGTAGGCCCATGTTCACTTGAAAACATTTCCTCTAGTTCACGTGACCATTAGTCATGGCACTTCTAGTATTCAACGCATTATAATTGCATCGCAAGGGCTCGGCCCAACTACACTTCTATGCAATCCTTTATCTCGAAATTCAACACATTATAATTGCATAGCAAGGGCTCGGCCCAACTACATTTCTATGCAATCCTTTAACTCGAAATTTAATACATTATAATTGCATAGCAAGGGCTCGACCCAAATACATATCTATGCAATCCTAATTACATGGCAAGGGCTCGGCCCAACTACGTTTCCATATAAATCTTAATCACATGGCAAGGGCTCGGCCCAACTAAATTTCCATGTAAATCTTAATCTCATGGCAAGGGCTCGGTCCAACTAACTTTTCATGTAAATCTTAGTCACATGGCAAGGGCTCGGCCCAACTACATTTCCATGTTATCCTAGAGCCCGACTCTAATTCAACATCATGTTCCAATTCATGAACATTATCTTATGCCTAGGATTAATTCATTTCGAGTAGCCTCTTAGGCCTACCCCTAATATCACTTAGAGTTCATACAACTCTAATTCATTAATCAAGTCACCTTGAAGTATCTCTCAAGACTACTTAAGGTCGTATCACAATCCAACATTTAGATTAATTCTAGTATAATCTTACAATAATTTCCCGACTAGTATCTTGATACTAGTCGGACTAACCTTGGAACAATCAAGTTCTCAATTCGTAGTCATTTAGTTCATTTCAATTGAATTTCCAATTCAAATATAATTTAATCTCAATATAAAAAATATCACTTTTATCCATTCATGATTTCTATACATGAAGTAAAAGTATATTTTATCACAAAAATCAACCGATTCAGTCGATTTCAGAGTCACCAAATAAGCTCTTTATATCAATACCAATGGAAAGGTTACCGTTGAAATAATAACCCTTTATAAGTTACGTTATTTTTATCAGACATAATTTTGTATTTGCACATGGAATTGTATAGTACTTCTCTCGATCTTTTTTAATTGCAACAATCCACTTTCACGATTGTCAATGTACAAGTTTAACAATACATTAATAAACAAAATATAGTCAAAATAGAATACGTAAATACTGCAAAAAATCAAATATTGTAATTATAAGAGAACAAATGTAGTATGAGTAATATTTTTATGCAATGATTACTTTTATCATTAACATATTATGAATAAATTATAATATTCTTATCAACTATTGAATTTTCTAAATTATGAATAAATTAAATTTAAAATAACTATTGAAAGACGCTTAATTACACAAAGTTAAGTAGAAACTTCCTTTTAATTTTATTAAAGAGAAAAGGGAGAAAACGAACTTTCAACCAAAAAAAGACCGTTCATTCTTTATCCCTGTTTCCTTCATTTCTACTTCAAACCAAAACCAAACTCTGATAACCACCTCTCACCATCTCCAGAGGAGGACAGAGATGTGATAAATTATGGAGGTTAGAAGACCAAACAGCAAGACCAGCAAAGGAGTTTATCTGAGGATGAGATTATTCAGACCAAAAGCCGGAGGAAGGCAAAAACCCGAAAAGATCTTCTTCTGCCATAGATATTTCAAATGGGTTCTCTGGTTTTCCCTTTCTTTTTACTTCTTCATCTCTTTTCTCTTCACCCACAAGCCCGCCGCCTCCGTCATCTCAAGAACCACCGTCGTCCACCGATCTAACAAAGCTTCTCACGCCGTAATCGAATCCTCCAATCCCCAGCAAGGTAAAATAAGCTCCGGCGCTCTAAAGGGTTTGAAAATATACGTATACGACTTGCCGGAGAAATACAACGTCGATTGGTTGAAGAATGAACGGTGCAGCAGCCATTTGTTTGCTTCCGAGGTTGCGATTCACAGAGCATTGGAGAGCAGTGATGTACGAACGCTTAACCCGTGGGAGGCTGACTTTTTCTTCGTCCCCGTTTACGTTTCCTGCAATTTCAGCACCGTCAACGGGTTCCCGGCGATTGGTCACGCCCGGTCTCTGATATCCTCCGCCGTCCGTCTCGTTTCCTCCGACCACCCCTTCTGGAACCGCAGCGGCGGCGCTGACCACGTCTTCGTCGCTTCCCACGATTTCGGGTCCTGTTTTCACACCCTGGTATGCCTTTTAAATTTTCCCAGTAGTTTCCTTCTGAATTATTTTGAGAAAATCTTTTCTCTATCAATCATCTTCTTTTATTATAGGAGGACAGAGCCATCGCCGACGGGGTGCCGGCGTTTTTGAAAAACTCAATCATATTGCAAACTTTTGGGGTAAAATATTATCATCCGTGTCAAGATGTTGAGCACGTTGTAATCCCGCCGTATGTTTCACCGGAAAGTGTGCGGAAAACGCTGACGGCGAACCCGACGGCCGATCACCGGAGAGATATTTTCGCGTTTTTCCGGGGAAAAATGGAAGTCCGTCCCAAGAACGTCAGCGGTCGTTTTTACGGCAGGTAAAAGTTTTCCGATTTTCTTGCAAGAGAAATGTGTTTGTACTTTGTAGATTGCTTATAATGACGGAACTAACCCTACCCTTTGACGTTTCAACGCAGGCGGGTCCGGACGGCGATTCTGAAAAACTACGGCAACGACCGGAAGTTTTACCTGAAACGCCACAGACTCGCCGGTTACCAGTCGGAGATTCTCCGTTCAACGTTCTGTTTATGTCCGCTTGGCTGGGCACCGTGGAGCCCGCGCTTGGTTGAGTCCGTCGTTCTGGGCTGCGTGCCGGTGATAATCGCCGACGGGATCGATCTTCCTTTCCCCGCCGCCGTCCCATGGGAGGAAATCTCCGTCACGGTGCCGGAAAAGGAAGTCCCAAAGCTCGGCCGTATACTTGAAAAAGTCGCGGCGACTAACCTTACTGATATCCAACGGCGACTTTTGGACACCGGCGCACGGCGGGCCCTCCTCTACAACGATCCGATGGTGGAGGGGGACGCAACGTGGCAGGTCTTACTTGCGTTGACCGAGAAGCTCCACCGGTCCCACCGTAGGTCAAGCCAATGACTACCTGATGACGTGGAGGGAATCTATTGGGTCTAAAATGACCAGCTAAAAGGAGGTGCTGTACTATAAAAAAGGTTATGGGATACAGCTGGATTATCCCACGGGGTTACAGTGCTGTCAGAATAGCCTTTAAAAATGTGTCCAGGCTGGGTCCCATATTGCTGGATACCGTGTGCTGAGTTGGCGAGATGTGATTGGTTTATATCGCGGTCGGGGGATGGGCGGTTCATGGTTTTGTTGGGTCACATGTGAACGCGGCCCATAAGTGGAAAGACAGGAAACGTTACGGAGATTCACACTGTTCGCGGTGTGGGATCCTGCCACGCTGTAAATGATAAAGCGACGGAAATGACACTGTGTGAATAGAAGAAAATTTTGTTATTCTTTTGTATATAATCCCTCTTAATTATTGGTCAATTACAATATTTAGAAGTTCGAATCTCAAGGAATTAAATTAATTTAACAAATTAATTACTTGTACAATCCATGACATTATGTCCCATTATCACCTGTGACATCAACATGTATTAAAACATTAATTGTAGCATCTTGACTCCCAAAAAAACTTTCGAACTCTTTATGATCGATTTAATTACAAATATGTGTTTATATAAAATTAAGAGCTCGTAACATTTAAAATGACTCGTTCTGTTGAAATTTATGAAGTTCTAACTGAAATAACTGTATTGATTGATTTGATTTATGACAAAATTATATTTAAAATATACTTCACCCGTCCTGAAATTAACTTCCCATTTTCCTTTTCGACCGGTCCCAAAATTAACTCTTCACTTCTTTATTTGACAAATTATCAACATCAAAACAACGCAAAATAGTGCAAAACAATGTAAAACAGTGTCAAAACAGTGAAATTTAGCTCATAGTAAATTTATTTCCTTAATGTGTGAAATCAAAGTGAGAAGTTAATTCTGGACGGAAGGAGTATTTATTATTAAAATAAAGGAAAAAATTATATGAAAAATAGATAAAATGATCGTTTATACTAACTTAGCTAATACAGCCAGAAAAGTAAGCTCAATCTTATTTGTTCTTATTATTACATAATTCAGCGCGACAATTTTTTTTTACGTGTTTGATTAAAAAGCTGACTGATAAGCCAAAAAAATGTCACGAAATAGGTTCTAAGTAATATAGTTTTGATAGCAATTAGGACATCCACATCCATGAGATAATTTGGGTATTATCTTGATGAAATATTATTTAGATAATGATTGAGGAGATAAGATTATTCTCAAAGATTATTTAGATAAAAGATCTGATATCAAATATTGAATCCTAGATTATTCAACACATTTAATGTAACCATATCTTTTACTCCCTCTATCTTCCTATAATTGTTCCATTTTTTCAATTTTGTGGATATACCTATATTATTTTCTCATACCATATTTGATAACATTTGTGTGAATCTAATTTATTCTTAATTTATTCCCACTTTATCAACCACATAATTGTATTGTTTTAAAAACAACATCACTCCCTCCCGTCCCAATATTAGGACGGGGGTAGTAATTTGGAATGACTAAAATACATCCTTGAAAATAACAAAAAACTCCACAAAAAAACTAAATGAATAGAGATCATGGTTGAAGGGGAATTAGTAAGATTTAGTTTTATTTATGTGCCAATAACCTGACAAGAGAAAAACATGAAAAACCAAACATTTAAGAATCATGGATGGAGTCATGGAGATGCTTTTAGAGGGTAAAATATGCCCAAATTAAAGAGGTTTTAAATTTACAAGTTTGGTCTGGTCTAGCAAATGTCTGGTCTTTATGTTTTTTATGACTATGGAGTATGATCTGGTCTGGTCTAAGAGTGAAAATAGTCCAAAAGAAAACATCCTAAAATAATGTGAAATAAATTTTACCGCCCAAGGAATGAAATACCCCATATTTCATTGGCTTTGAGATATACGGAGTACATTGTAGGAGCCTATGGGTTTATATAAAAAGATGTCTTTGTGCATAAAGAAAATTTTGTAAAAAAATGCACACACACAACTGAAACGGCAACAAATATTTACATTCCAATAACATCAAGGTTTACTTTTTATGAGGAATTGTGCAGTCCATAGTGATTTTTTCAAATAAATTTGATTGCAACTTTAAATTATCTTTGTGTTCAATTCATGATCCATATAATATAAGTGAATGAGAGGAAATATTTCAGGGTAATTCTGACCTTTGAATTGACATTGCATGTTAATAAATTATTGTGCGGAATGAATTCTCTATTAAGACACACTTTATTATTTTTAAAGAATTAATTACGTGATATTTTATTAAAATTAAATTTAAGTGTACTAATCATTCAAGAGATGATTTCACAAAAAAAACTATTCAAGAGATGATAAAAAAACAAATGCAAGAAGTCTTTAAAATCACTATTGTTTTTTTATATATAAATAAAGTACTACTCTTCAAATCAAAAGTGATATATATACATGTTATGCTATTATATTAGGTAATACATAAATTTTGTACGTAGTATTAAATAATCCTCAAAAAGAATAATCATAATAATAATTAATGTAGATTAAAATAAAGCAAATGCTAAAGGGACATTAATTTGTTTATCACTTCATCATAAGGAAAAACCCAAGACTTAAGAATCATTTCTAATATTATATTAATTGGTCTATCGCTTACAAAAATAAATTAAACAGCGGCTAATAATTATTTGGACCAAAAACTTGGTCGCGTGTGCGTCCCTATAGTCTATACTCTATAGGCCTCGCCTCAAAAGATATTTTGTGCATATAATTCAATCCCTACTGATATTAATTGAAACTACTCATGTATATAACCTGATGAATAATTGCAATCAATTTTCCTCCACTACATTAAAGATCTAGAATAATAACCATTAATTGCAACAACCTTTTAAATGAATACAATTTCTCTCAGTATTTATGTGATTAATTGATGAAAACATAATATGACATAATATAATAAATACGTATTGCAGATATCCAAAATGAATAATAGAAAGGTGAAAACGATTCTCTCTATATATATAGGAAAAAGATCCTGTTCATCCGGATGGACAGAAGCCTCCGTCCGGCCGAGCCCATCAGAGGGCCATTCCGGTGGAATTTTTTGATGAAATTTTTTGAGGATATGATGTTCTTGATGAAGTCTAGTTTATCCATACCAAATTTCAACTAAAAATTCAACCGGGAAGACACTCAAATGATTTTTGGAAAAAGACAGTTTTATATGTATATAAAGTTCGCAGTTAACTTACGAAAATCATTTGACTGCCTTCCCGATTGAATTTTTAGCTGAAATTTGGTATGGATAAACTAGACTTCATAAATAACAGGTTCAAAAAAATTCATCGAAAAATTCCACCGGGAAAGCCCCAAACAGTAAAGTTCGGAAAGAGCCTCCCGTCCCTCCGCATGGACCTGAGCATTCCTCATATATATATATATATATATATATATATATATATATATATATATATATATATATAGAATAAAGATCAAATCAGAACGGTGCTTAATGTGAGAACTCGTGAGAACCCCTGAGAACGGTGATATTTTTTGCTGATTTTTTTTTGTGTATGTTCCTCATCGAGTCTAGTTCATCCATACCAAATTTGAGTAAAACGTTCAATCGGGAAGGTCGTCAAATGATTTTTGAAAGAAAACTGGTCCGGAATATACATATAAAATGCAGTTTTCTTTCAAAAAATCATTTGACGACCTTCCCGATTGAATTGTTTGCTCAAATTTGGTATGGATGAACTAGACTCGATGAGGAACATACACAAAAAATTTCAGCCAAAAATACCACCGGTTCTCAAGGTTCTCACGGGTTCTCATTTTTAGAGGGGTTCTCACTAGAACCCTCCCCTGACTTATTTCAATTCATATAATAACTTCAAAAAGTTGGTTACAAACTACAAATAAATACGTATAACTTCAAAATGATATTATACATATTTTACTTTACAAAAATTACATATGACATATTGGTATAATTTTTGTTAAAATTGGATTATTATTTAAGAAGTTAAATCAATTTTTAAACTAAAAATATTTTATATGATTTGAGATTTATTATTACCTAATTTTTGGGGAAATGACAAACTTCATCCGTATGGATACCTTTTAAAATTACCATGTGAGAAACATAAATGTGAGAAGACGTAAATGTCCTTTCCTACGTCTCATTTAATCGCAGATTGTTATTGATTTTGGATGGCTGAGATGTGTTCTCACGTTCTCACGTTAAGACTCGTTCTCATTTGAACCAGAATATATATATATATATATATATATATATATATAGGGTGCGGTTCCAATGAGAACGATGCTTAACGTGAGAACGTGAGAACACTCACAATTAACCCAGCGTGATACACAATTGAGCCCGTCAGGTGCACATTTGGGTTTAGCTCAAAATAAGCCTATATAAATAATGACGGTGGCATTTTAGTAAATACTGTGCCGAACGCGAAAATGTGCATTGGGCGAGCCTCATTGTGCATCACATTTGGGTAAATGTGGTGTTCTCACGTTCTCACGTTAAGAGTTGTTCTCATTTGATCCTAAACCTATATATATATATATATATATATATATATATATATATATATAGGGGTGAGATCACATACAAACTAGTCCTCCCATGCTAACCTACAAACTTTCACAAACTGTGCATCTTCACATAATTTGCACTGCATATTGAAGTTCAAAGTGTTGCATATTATTTGTATTGCATATTGAGATTCAAAGTGTTGCATATTATTTCTATTGCATATTGAAGCTCACAACATGCATCTTTACGTTATTTGTACTGCATATTGAAGTTCAAAGTATTGCATATTATTGAGTTTGTAGGTTAGTATTTTAAGCATGGTTTGTATTTGATCTCTTGTCTATATATATATATATATATATATATATATATATATATAGGGAGCGGTTCCGGTAAGAACAGATCTTAGGAGAAAAATGAGAACGAATCTGGACCGTTGGATTGTATTATGTGGAACCAAATTGTGCATTTGGTGAAACTGAAATGTGCATTAAATGATATTGAAATGTGCAAGATAAAATTTAAACTCAAGTGTGCATTAGATGAAACTGATATGTGCGAAAAAAAAGTACAAAAATAACATCACATCGTACTTTTTATTCTGCACATTTTAGCTTCACCTAGTGCATATTTCAATTTCACGTAATGCACAATTCAACTGCACATAATGCCACTCTATCGTACCTTTTGTGATGCACATTTCAATTTCACCTAATGCACATTACAGTTTCATCTAATGCACACTGAATTTCACTTGAGACAAATCTAACGGTCCAGATTCGTTCTCATTTTTCTCATAAGATCGTGTTCTTATTTGAACCAAAACCTATATATATATATATATATATATATATATATATATGTATATATATATATATAGTACTCTTCTCGTCAGGCCGGCCTGACGGGAACCTCCGTCCGGCCGAGCCAGTTTGGGCACCTTCCCGGTGGAATTTTTTGATGAAAATTTTTGAGCATGTTCCTCATCAAGTCTAGTTTGTCCATACCAAATTTCAGCTCAAAATGAGATCGGGAAGACATTCAAATCATTTTTTGAAGTTGACTGCGTCAAAATATATAAATATAAAACTGCAGTCAACTTCAAAAAATAATTTGAATGTCTTCCCGATCGAATTTTGAGCTGAAATTTGGTATGAACAAACTAGACTTGATGAGGAACATGCTCTAAAAATTTCATCAAAAACTTCCACCGGGAAGGTGCCCAAACGGGCTTGGCCGGACGGAGCAGCTCGTCAGGGCGGCCTGACATGAACTATCCTCTCTCTCTCTCTCTCTCTCTATATATATATATATATATATATATATATATATATATATATGGGAGGTTTCAAATACCAATAGGTCTTTCCATGCAAAGTGAAAATAAATCCCGTGCATTGATTTTTTACATCTAATGGCTCAAAGTTCAAAATGAGCCAAAAATGCAGTTCATTTGATAAAAAACGCGGCGGCAATTTCGTGAATAAAACGAAGTTTTTTGTCACCGCAAAAATGTGCAATAGAAACATGCACTAAAGCAACACGGTGAGGGAAAAGTGCAACCGTTCACACTTTGCACAGTAGCACCTCTTTTTATTTGAAAAAAGCATACACACACACAAACACACAAACACATATAGCGCTGAAATCATGACCCTCGTGGATCTCATCAAGAAGGGTGAAAAACTAGGATATTCTGAGGCTGCCCTTCTGGCAAAGCTCGGGATTAGGCCGTTTTCATATGATCTTGTTGTGATTTCTGCGTATGAAAATGGTTCTTTCTTTAACCCAGAGGTCCTTGATTTAACTGAAAATGATCTGATTGAAAAGTTTGCTTTGGGTGTTTCTACGGTCACAGCGCTTTCATTGGCCACCCGACATTGGCGGCAAAATGAAAAGCTTCAAATGAAAAGCAAGTCTTAACCAAATATTCGACATCAGGCATCCAAGAAAGCTTCACCAAATTATGTAACTCTCAATGGAATCCGATGATTTCTAGAAAAATCAAAAATACCATTTGATGGTGAAGGTTTTGATACAAGAAGGGAGACATTGTCACAAAACATGTCCTCTAAAAGATGTGCAACAGCTACAACACACCATAGTCATGAACGCATTATAGCTGATGCAGTTGAAACTCATGAAAGTTCAGCTAGTGATAGTCCCCATCGTCCATCACCAGAAAAGAATTGTTGAAGCAGATACACATCTCACTATTATAAGATAATATGTGATTGAGTTTAAATGGTGATTGCTGACTATGGTGAATTAAAAACATGTTGTCTACCTAGCTTCTCGCCCAAAGAAAAGAGGTTGTGGTCAAACGATGGGAAAGGGAATTATGAGAGCATTTGGGGCTTCTAAGACAAAAATGAAGATAACTATGGATCCATCAATCGGAAGACCAAAAGATGGAGAAGAATCGGCAAAGACTTCAAGTTAAATTGGTATAGTTGCTTGTGATTTACTTCCTGTGCCAAGAAGGTGGAATGAAGTTGATCAGGAGAATGGGCTTAAACCTAGATTTGATCATCCAAGAAGGTGGAATGAAGTTGATCGGGAGAATGGGCTCAAACTGGGATTTGATCATATTCAGGTACGGTTATAAAAAAAGAGCAACTTTACTTTTTATGTGATCTAAAATATGATCCCAACACTATGCAGATGCATATGCATGTTAATTTTGATGATCATGGTGTGAAAGACAACGTAATTGAAAGGCTAAAAAACAGTATTCGAAAAAAGTGTTACAAGCTACACAAGCATTACCAGAAGTTTCAAACTTTGGAAGAAGCTAAAGTAAACAAGCCTCCACTTTTCCTAAACCAAGAAAATGGGAACTACTGTGTGATAATTATGCATCTCCTAGGTTTAAGGTGATAAACTCAAACATTTCAGCCAAAATGTTTTATTTTTATTGTACTTATAAGTGACCTTGATCTATATATATATATATATATATATTAACTTTTGGCTTGTAGAAATTAAGTATCACGAATACAGGAAATAGGAAATTGGTGCGAGCTCCACACATTTCAAGAAGGAAACCTTTCACTGTCTGACGACATGAAATAGTGAGTATATTTTTCTATTTCAATATGTTTTGACTAAATTTGTGATGTTTCTAGATAAATGTTGTACTATCAATTTCCCTATTTTTCTAGTTAATAAAATTCTTAGGTATTAACTAGAAAGTGAAGTATTAAAAAAATCTTCACTTGGCGGGTGTTTTTGCCATTAACTCCAAGTCATATGATTTTGTATGAAATTTTTCACTCCCATGACAAGTGACTGTTGTAACCTTATCTTAAAACTCTGGCCAATTCTCAACTCTAGTACAAAATTGTTGCAATCTAGTGTCTTTCCTCTGTAAACTCATTGAGCAAATGTTGAATGCAATCTAAATAAAGTTGCTAAAATCTGGTCTCTCCTCTATAAACTGAGTGAGCTAATGTTCAATTTAATCTAAACAAAATTGCTGCAATCTAGTATCTTTCCTTTGTAAACTCATTGAGCAAATGTTGTCTGCAATGTAAACAAAGTTGATGCAATCTGGTTTCTTTCCTCTGTAAAATCAGTGGGCTAATGTTCATTGCAATCTAAATAAAGTTGTGGCCATTTAATGTCTTTCCTAGGTAGAATTAGTGAGCTAAAGTTGTGTGCAATCTAAAAAAGTTTGCTGGAATCTAGATCTAGATCATATGAAGGAAGTAAAGAGGTTGAATTATGTCACTTACCATGATCTTTAGTAGTATGAACATCCACTACATCATTCCAAAAAATCACTCAAACACTGAAACAACTGTTGTTCCCCACCAAGAAATCATCCTAATTTGCGCAGGAAAACATCCCCCATAGATACTGTTGTTATTTAAGAACTTTTTAATTTCTGCTAACCAATATGTGTTACAGTCTCTGCAGGAATTGAGTGGGGATTCTTGTGATAGGATTGAGCTTTATAAACGCACTCATTATTCAGAGAAGAAAGGCTGGTCATCCAAAGTGGCAGAAGAAAATTGAGTATATTTCTACCTCTTCATCCTAGCTTATACTACCCTGCGTTATTTATTTTAAACAGACTAACTCTAACTTCTTAAATTTATATGTTCAACTAGGAAATGATGAAAAAGAAACAACAACCGTTCAAAGAAGAAAGAATTGAAAAGAGTACAAATGAGATAGTTCTTGAGGTTCTTGGCCATGGGTCTGGCTACAGTAAAAGTCTTGGTTATGGTCCTAAACCTACAAGTAGACGCAACAACGCTAATTCTTTTATGACCGAGCAACTCCAAAAACAACTTCATGAAACAAAACAAAAACTACACATTTCTGAATCACAAGTTGGCGAGCTTAAGACTAAGTACAAGATACTGATAAATGTGGAAAAACTCATGGCATTTATGGCTACTCAAGGAGTGACCTTATAATCACTGCTATTGGTTTCACAACCAAACTCTTTTTTTAGTTTTTTTGTTTTTGTCATCTAAAAACTTCCGGTTAAGTGTTTTGCGCAATAAATTTCATCCGAATATGAGAATGAGTTTGAATCTGAATTGTGGGCAGTTTGTTACTAATATTTATCAATTTAAAATATTCATTACAAAATGTTGTTCATTTAAAATTTTTCCATATTGGCATAATACACCTCTCGTGACAATTGATATAACTATTTCATCACTAAAATTAATATTTCGCCACAACACTCAAACATTTAATTGTCAATATTTGTCCATTCAATTGTTACTACAATGTGTTCATTTATGGAGCATTATGTGAATTGTCACTATAAGTTACGTATGTTATTTTGTTGTTTATTGTGATTAGCAAATGTGACCAAAATTATACATCAATGACAAATTTATTGTTACAAACGTGACATACTTGACATCACCAAAAATGTTCAGTAACTATGACAAAGCGCTAAGGCGTCACAAAAAATAAACGTACAGGGACGAATTTTAGAAATTGTCAATTATACCTTTTGCCACGGAGTTATGATGACGATCACAGTGACGCTCAAAGTTTGTTATACAATAATTTTACTGACAAATAGTAATGTTTATATGACAAAAAAATTCTTGTGGTGATGGCTCCAACCCACTACTCAGATGCTGATTGGGCCAGTTGTCCGGATACTTTTTGTTTAACTAGTGGTTATGCTCTTTTTTTGGGTCCTAAGATTGTGTCATGGAAGTCCAAAAATCAGTCTATAATATCCAAATCCTCTACAGAAGCGGAGTATCATGCTATTGCATATATAGTTCAGGAACTTGTGCAGCTGTTCTGTGATATTTTAACTGATAGTCTTTCATATCAAAATTTTCATTTTTTAAAGAGAGAATTCCCTAAATAGGAGTAAAAACGTTTTGAAATTCCAAAATAGGAGTATCATGTTTTTTTATTCCCTGAATAGGAGTAAATTTCTGCCAAGTTTGGCATTACAAGGCTTTAAATATGACATTTTTTTTCCAAACTTGGCAGATTACTCCTATTCAGGGAATAAAAATTTGATACTCCTATTTTGGAATTTTCAAAACGTTTTTACCCTTATTTAGGAAATTTTTTGTTTTTTAAAATACAACGGATGCGTTGTATCTCTCACACACTTTGATGGTGTGTAATAATCTCTTTTAGGGATATTGGTGTATTTTACTTTTAATTTTATTATTATAAATACACGTGGTAGGACTCGTATTAGAGATATTATTACAAAACATAATATTTCAATATTTCACACTTACAAACCTATTCCAATAGTTCACACACAAAACACAATATTGATGTTTAAAAAATATGCACATCAGTACATGATAAAAACCTCACTCCCCGGTTGTACACCCGGGTGTACATGTACACCCGGTTTTTAAATGACGTGGCAGACTCATTCTCTCATCCATCTCTATTCCTGATTCTTCCTCATTCCCTCACTCCCCGTTGCTTTTATTTATTTCAGCCGCCATTCTTTTTCATTTTTACCCTCCATCCCGTCATCCTAGTTTGTTGTATACTACGTATTTGATTTGTCTTTTTTATTTTACTTTTTCGTTACTTTTTTTCTCTTCTTTCTTTTTTCTCTTCGTTTCTTTTATTTTACTTTTTCGTTACTTTTACTTTAATTAGTTTACTTTTTTGTCTTTTTTCTTTTTTTCTTTATTTTAAACTCAAATAATTATAGCGTCTAAAAAGAATAAATATATACAAATGAACATTTCAATTTTTGAAAACTCATTTTGTAAGTAATGTATGTCCATTTAGTACCTTTGTTATGCTTATTTTAAAATGTTTGTCCATGTATATTTCAAAAGTCTCATATTACATTAGATTCGCATAGAATTTGATTATAGACACGAGACCACAAACCACGATACTCAATTGCATGATTCTAGTACCCAATAACGGAGGTTCGATGCTCACTGAAAATATCTTGATGTTCAACAAACAAAACATACAATTTTCATATCAATGATCATCTTGTAAGTTACGAATGCTCATTTGTATAGGTCTGATGCTCATTAAAAATTCATTAATGCTCATTGATCTCAATAGAGGATGTTTGATGCTCAATTAAAATGTCGTGATATTCCACTAAAAAATCTTATGATCTTCACATCAATGCGCATTTTGTAAGTTACTATGCTCATCTGGTACTCATTTTCTAAATGATATAATTTACATATGCTCATTTCTATAGGCCTGATGCTCATTAAAAATTCATTAATGCTCATTTAATAGAAATCATGATTTTCATCAATCTCAATAGAGGAGTTTTGATGCTGAATGAAAATGTTGTGATGTTTAACCAACCAATTAGCTACCAAATTCATTAATACTCATGTTGTAAGTTACATATGCTCATCTGATACTCATTTTATGCTCATTTTCTAAATGTCATATCAATGCATTTTTTAAAAGTATTAATTTATGATAGACTCCTAATACTCAACATAATAGGATTGATGCTCATTAAAAGTTCATTATTGCTCATTCACAAGAAACTATGATTTTCATCTCAATAACAGATGTTTGATGCTCAATTAAAATGTCGTGATGTTTAACTAACAACCCTTACGATAAAAAATAACAAAAAAAAGTGAATTAGAAGTTTGTAAAGCAGAGATCACGATTCTGAATATTAGACTCCTAATACTCAACAGAATAGTTAGGGTGCTCATTAAAAGTTCATTATTACTCATTCTCCAGAAGTCGTGATTTTCATCTCAATAGTTGAGGTTTGATGCTCATTTAAAATGTCATGATGTTCAACTAACAAACCTTACGATTTTCATATCAACGTGCACTTTGTTAGTTATGTATGATCATTTGATATTGATGTTATGCTCATTTTTAAAATGTCATATCAATGCATATTTCAAAAGTATCATATTACATTAGACTCGCATATTGAAATTAATAGTAGTGAATTTTAGATATAATTTAATACGGATTAAGTTTTTATAGCAGAAAAAATAGAAGATATGAAGCAGAGATCGCGATACTCATTATTAGCCTCATAATACTCAATACAATATGTGAGATGCTCAACAAAACGACAATGTTGCTCATTTAGCGGAAGCCATTATTTTTCGCTTAAATTACAAAACTGCCACCGAAAAAAATAGATTGTTTTAATTAAATGGACTGTCTTTCTTTTAATTGGGCCTTTTTATGGGCCATCCGTGGGATTCATTTAATTCTATTCAAACTGGGTTATTAAAATGGACTGAAGCTTAATAAATTTAAAAAAAGCCCGGATGTACGGTTCTCACCCGTACACCCGGATGTACGATATACGTACTCTAAAAACCTCTAATAATTAAACAACAAAAACATACAAAGTTCATAAATGTTTTTGTTCTGGTGAACTTTCTAATCTATTATACCTTATATTCAACAAATTAGTGAAAGACTATAAAAAAATTAGGGAATTGTCCTGCCTGCGAGATTCTTTTTCTAAGAATTATATAAAGTTCATAAAACAGTCTTGTAAAACTGTAAAAGAGCTCTCCGCACAAACTTTGCAAAGCACTACGAAAACAAAAAATATCATCCGACCTGCCGGATTCGAACCAGCGACCTAAGGATTATCTGCTACAACTACAGTCCTCCGCTCTGCCAACTGAGCTAAGGTCGGTTGTTGTTTTTGTTCTGTATATTTTGGTACATTGCTACACTTTAGGAAAAAAGTAATAGTCGTCTCGACTCTCGACTCTTGAGTGAGGACTGAGGCTTTGCTATCTACTTCTTGGTTCATCAACGATAGTAATACCTTGTGGTACTAGAGTACTAGACTAATCGATTTAGAAATTCCTGTTGTGTTAAACAATTTGTGGTTAAAAAACGTAACATTTTTTAGGAGAGCTAAATCTATTGCGTGAAAATTTCACAACGGCTTCACCAAAAAACAACCATACGGGGAGGGAAAATGGGAGGAGACTAGGAGTAGCAACTAGGAATGACAATTGTGACCGATCTGATGGACATCCGCACCGAATCATCCCGGTCAAAACAGGGAAAATCGCATTGACCGGGTAATGGGTACGGGACGGGGCATGCCTGTTTTGTTTTTACGGGTAACGAGGCGGTTACTGTTTTATACATGCCCGCTCCATTACCCCCACGTAACCGCCCCGTTTATTTTTAGTTATATTTTTATCTATTATTTATTCCACAACTAATAAAAGATGAGATATTTCTTTTTGATTGTGTATATATGGATAATAGATACACCAGCTATAGTGTATGAATGGAATTTTATAATAGATTTTAACAGTCTTGTTTGATTATTATCATATTTTTTTTTCGGATTAAGTTTTAGGTTCTAATTAATTTAGGTTGCCTTTTTCTCGTCTTGTAGATATGCGAAGCTTTTAAGTGGCATCTGACATCTAAAGTCATCTAAGCGTTGCCATTTTTTACCTTTTAAAATATTATTTTTATACAGTACCGCAGTACGTAGTATTAAAATATCAATGACTCGTTTAATAAAGTGGTTACCCGAAATTACCCGCAGTTATACCCGTTACCCGTTGGGGCGGTTATAGTTTAAGGAAAGATTACCCGATGGGTAATGGGGCGGTTACGGGACGGGGGAATTACCCAACGGGGCGGGTACGATTATATGGAAAACCGTCCCCGATCCACCCCGTTGCCATCCCGAGTAGCAGCTTTTTTTTGAAAGGAAGCCTTCTTTTGTTACGAAAATTAATTCAAAATTAAAACGGAGCACTTCGTAACTTTTTGATCTTTTACGTAACGTCAATATTTCAACGAATGAGTTTTCAGGGTCAAAATATTACATTTTCCAATTAATGATTCAAAAAATAGGTCTCAAAATAACCAAGATAAAGCCAAAATTCCAAATTTAATCATTTTTAGAATGTTTGACCTTTTAAATTATAACTATTCATAAAAGCATTTGTCAAAAGTATTACTCCGTATTATTTGTAATAATAAAAGTAAAGATTTATGCAAAGTTAATATATGGACAATTGTTGATTATATTGTAAAATTGAATTGACATGAATTCACAATTTTCGTATACA